TGTATATCACATATTTTGGCCAGTGCTTTTGGCCGTGCTCATTATTTAGTGATCCTGACCTTGGCTGGTTATCTGCTGTTTTCTCTAAACTTGACTGTAGCTCATTATTTGTCTCCTACAGTCTGCTTCCGAGCTCTCTTTCTTCTGCCTCGTTGGTGGTATTTTTGTTGAACCTTGTCACCTTTAAAAGCTGGTTAATGTTTTATTATCTATTTTGTGCTTTTCTTTTTTCTTTCATTTCTGACCTATATTCTGCCACTATCTGCGCTCTGATCCTCACAATGAGACTGTTTTCTATATCAATTAACAAAGCTACGGCTTAGCAAGTGAAATGTCATTTTCATTGAAGAGTGTAACTGGTCGTTCATCACCTACTGCTCCTGTTCACCAAATTCTGCCTGTAATCTTTTACTTAAACATTGTAAACCACTATAAAACATGTTAGCAATATATATGATATGAATATAAATAAGAATTTATTGGGCAGACGTAATAATGGCTTAGACCTATTTTTGTAGCTGAAGAAAATGTCAGTCATCGCCGTGGTGTCAGCATTAGCGAAGTGAAGTGTAGTTGTTTTATAATGATGCTAAACCGTTAATTGAATTCCAAGCTCACTCCAATGTAAATGTTTGAGGTTAGGATTAAGGATGAAGTACTTAGAATTATTTTGAGTTATTACGTTTTTCATCCGAAACGTAAATCTTTGGTTTGGCAATAATGTCATTTATAGGAATTTTAAAGTGTTATAATAATGTTATAATCCCTTGCCATTGCTCAAATCTTAACTTAAGTATCTAGAAAAACGTGTTTAGGATCCAAACTAATGTCGATATCATCCTCTACATCTAAATGATAGGGGCGTTCTGCAGTTACACCATTAAAGGTATAGGAAATATTTGAGATACTGTAAATCTAGAAACCTAGCAATATTACAGTTGGGAATGTCATAGGAAATGTAAGGAATCTTGAACTCAAAGACTTCTTCAGGCCGATAATTGTCAACAAGTCCCATCAAATATCGGCATATGTTTCATCTGCTGCTGGTATGACAATTACTGCTGGATGCAGCCAGCACCTATTTTCCCATGACAGTCTGTCTCATTAAGACCAAGCAAGCTTTTTGTTCGATGTATATTGTCACTGCAGCATTATCGCACACATGATCATATTTCCTATTATTATTCTCTTGGCAACAAGCTGTTGCGAAAACTTGTTTCACAGTGTCAACCATTGATTTCTGAGCTGGCCCTGAAACCAACACGTCTCGCTACTGCGACGGCTAAATTACACATTAGAGGGAAAACTAATTATACCACCTTTAATATTAAATCATTGTATGTACATACTTTTCCTACTAAAGTATGTAATAATTATGCTTGAGCCACGTATTGTAGCTAAACCTTCTAGAAACCAGAGCAATCTGAATGTACCTTTCCTGGTTAAACACTTTGTTATTATTATTTCTCATATGATAATAAAAAAAGTGCCAAACGCACACTGTGTAGTCAAATTTCATTTTTATAGCACTCAAATACTTGTTTATATACATTTCACGATGTGCGCTTTAAATGCGGATCGTTAAGTCAATGCTGAAATGCGTCATCAACACCGTGCATTACACTGATCCATGCTAGGCAACGTGTTAGGGAGGTAAGATTAGGCTTAGATTGGGTTTATGGTGGGTTCATGTTTTAAGGGAAATTTCGGGTAAAAGGATACATAGTGCCAAGCTTTTTTTTGGACTCTAACTCGCCTGATTATGAGTGAGTACCGTATTTATCGGCGTATAACATGCAACGGCGTCTAACACGCACCTCATTTTAAGAAAGAAATTTCAGGGGAAAAAAACCTTAAATTTCAAATAAAGAACTTCTTACCCCCTTCTTACTCCCCCCTCCCCCTCTTCTTACCCCCCTTTCTTACTCCCCCCTCCCCCTCTTCTTATTTCCCCCTCTTACCCTCTTCTTACTCCCCCTCCCCCTCACCCCCTTTCTTCTCCCCCTCCCCTACCTCCTCCCTCCTCTTCTACCCCCTTCTTGCTCCTCCCTCTTCTTACTTCCCCTCTTACTCCCTTCTTACTCCCTCCCCCCCCTCTTCTTACCCCCCTTTTCTTACTCCCCCTCCCCCCCTCTTCTTACTTCCCTCTTCTTACTTCCCCCTCTTACCCCCTTCTTACTCCCCCCTCCCTCTTCTTACCCTTTTCTTACTCCCTCCCCTACCTCCCTCCCCCTCTTCTTACCCCCCTTTCTTACTCCCCCCTCCACTTCTTGCTTCCCCCTCTTGCCCCTTCTTACTCCCCCTCCCCTCTTCTTACCCCCTTTCTGCCCCCCTCCCCTACCTCCCTCCCCTCTTCTTACCCCCTTTCTTACTCCCCCCTCCCTCTTCTTACCCCCCCTCCCCCCTCTATTTACCCCTTCTTACCCCTCCCCTCGTCCTCCCCCCCTCTTCTTACCCCCTCCCCTGTGGCGTGGCCGAGCTGCTCTGCTGTCCGCGGTGGCCGGCCAGAGTGATAGGAAGGTGCACGCTCAGTGTGCACCTTCCTGTCAGTCCGACCGGGTACAGGAAACACTATCACTCCGGCCGGCCACCGCGGACAGCAGAGCAGCTCGGCCACGCTACAGTAGAGGTGAGAACCAACTGCAGCCACCTGACTGCTCTTGACAGAGCACTCAGGCGGCTGCAGCATTTAAAGGGCCGGTGTATAACACGCACCCATAATTTGCCCCCTATTTTCAGGGAGAAAAAGTGCGTGTTATACGCCGATAAATACGGTAATAGCAGTTACAGTTCACAGTATTTTGAATGCAGATGTCCATAAATCTCTAGAGCCAATTTAGTTTTACCTCTCACCAAACTATGACTGTACCCTTAAACCCATGCCTCCCAACATTTCAGATAGACAAAGGGGACACTTTAATTTTAGGGGTGCGAGTGAAGGTGTGGTTGGGTGCAGGGCTGTTCTGAAAATTATTAGATTGCTTATTAATAAAAGTGTTTGTAACTAAAGAGTAAATTAGAGCAAGGACAGTGTATCTTATATACACAGACTAATATCTAAACATATTTATTGTAGTTTAAAGACACATTACTGGGAGTATTTCCAAAATAGGGACACTTGGGAGGTATGCTCAACCTACTGCACTGGAGTACACAATTTTACTCCACGTTATTACAGCACCACGTACAGCAATGTGCTCTGCTCGTTAGCAATACACGTTTTGTTACAAAAATAATTATGTAATTTTTTTGTATCGCTTTCTTAAAGTTTTACATATAATACATGACAAAACAAAAAAAGAAATAAAAACCATACAAAAAAAAAACCAAAAAGGGGTTCTCCTTTCCAATACATAATTCATGTTATAGTACTTGTGTCACACTATTCAACATTTTATAAGCAAAAAAAAATTCACTAATATACGGCGTATCACAGCAGCTTGAATTATATTATCATCTATGGTGTATACTGTCTTTGGATTTTTATAATTAAGGAGATTTCTGGAGTATTAGATGTTTTTCTACATATATACTCAAGTCATGTTAAAGTGGTAACATTATATAGACGCAATGAAGATGTGTTGCAAACTTGTTTAAGGTAAACTTGTATTTTTGCATTAATTACAAACCTCTACATTCCACTATATTCTTCTTTTCCTTTTTGTATACTCTGGGGTACTTTTTTACTTTGTGGTGTCATCAAACCAGAGTTTGTCATTTGTCAATTTCCTAATCAAGCTGAGTTAATTGTGCAGCTCAAAGTGGAAGATCTAATTGCGGATTACACATTAATCTTCAATTAATCCTATGAAACAACTCCAATCTATTGGGTCTCTGCCAGCAATCCCATTGCATTGGTAATCAAAACAAGAAATTAAACTAACTTATCTATTATGTGACCAACATTATGTAGGTGCCTGCACATCACATAATCTAATTCCATTATCCTAGGGATTAATTGTGAAAAGGCTTTTTCATTAGAAATTGGAGAATTGCTACGGGTAATCTGCATTCGGTCCTAAGGGATGTAGTGAAGTTAGCATTGACATTGGACAGTTAAACCTAGTTTCTAGTCTGCGTTAAAAAAAAAGACTTCAATTGATTTGAGGTTAGGGCTCTGTTGAGGCCAGTCAAGCTTCTAACCTGTAAAACAAAGGATTTTGGTAGCAAGTGGAAGGGGGCGTGAAGCACTGTGTCTTTGGACCCAGGCAAATGAGATATTATTAATAATAACATAATAATATTATAAATATGAATAGTGTGCATTCCTTATGCAGCATGGAATCTGGCAGCATCTCGATGGGCATTCAGACACAAATATGTTGCTTTTAAAAAATAGATTGCCAAAGCACAAAACATTTTCAAACCAAATTGTATTAATAATATTGTATTAAGAAAAAGTATATCTGATATATAAAGTGCAATAGTTATGATTATGAACATGTATTTATTGTGACTGCTATACTGCTATATACTATGGTCTTCATAATGTCAGTTTGCATTTCACGTCCTGTCCTATATGTAAAAACTAATCAGATTATTAGTTGTGACATTAAACTGTAGCCATATAGGTTTCGATATTAAATATATTTTACAATCCCATTTATTGAGGCCTTGTGAGAAGGAGTGGTTTCTGATTTAAAAATGTATATATATATATATATATATATATATATATATATATATATATGTGGTGTTCAAGTAGAGATTGCAGCCGTATTAGTCCAGTGATGTAGATATTTGATTTCCATATTCCAGGAACAACACTGCACTTGCCAAGCACTGGGATAACCTTCCCGTTATATGTCTTTAGTTTGACTGAGCTTTTCAGAAGTTCTGGTTAGTTGTTCAGTTGGTGATACTTGCTCTCAGCCATCAAATTAGCTTTTGCTAATTTGGTGTATCTATCGTCTAGGCAATTTGTGATAGCTTCAATGACACACTCATCTGTAGCTTTGGTTAATTGAAGATTATACTAGCTTTAGTGTACTAATAATCTTAATTTTAGTAATGACAGGAGGCGAATATTTGCATATCTTTCTTTACTGAAAACTCCAGCAGCATAGAAACATAACAACCAATCAGAAAAAAGCTATGGTGCCCATATAAGGCCCTGTCTATGACATCACTTCCTCTTTCTTTGAAGCAAAACAATAAATAACAACAATAAACACAATCATATTACGTCAACAGTTCAACAACATATTGGGATAAACAAACTCCAGTAGTTCCATGATGCAGCGGTATGAAAGGTGAGCTTTTGTCCTGATGAGAAGACGTTCACGCTGCAAGAAAAAGGAAACAGGTGAAAGGACTCTGGCGTGATAACTTGTCCACATACAATAAATATTAAAAATCTGACATATCAATGGATACTAGAATGAGTAACATATCAATATATATCATTCGGAAGTAATGACATTTAAGAATCTATAAGCACAACATAACTCAAGGTACCAGACAAATGAATCAACCTATACAAGTCTCTCAAGATACATGATCGAGTAGCAAACATGCAACCAAAACATACCTGACTTCCTGAACATAAAGGACGTATTCTGTTCAACACGAGAAACATGGGAGGGATCCTATAGGGTGGGAAATATTCGCCTCCTGTCATTACTAAAATTAAGATTATTAGTACACTAAAGCTAGTATAATCTTCAATTTTACCACATGACAGGAGGCTTCATATTTGCATTTTTAAAGCTTAGAATTGACCAATGTGAAGGAAGTATGAGATGTTTGCCGAAATAGAGCGTTCTAAACGTACCCTCTCGCGCTCAAACCGCGCATTGTATAATGTCGGTTAGGGAAGCGTCGGACGAAAATGACTTGTGAGGCCGCCGCTCCCTCGACCGAGTGGGCTCCGAAACAAGGTTTGACGCCCGCTAGATGCAACAGCCAGCGAGTCCATCTGGCGAATGTAGCGGTAGACACCTCTCCATGAGGTTCCACGTAAGAAGTCAGGAGTAGACCCGTCGCATGAGTACGTAGGGGTAATGATTCGGTATACCCCATTAGCGGTCCGACCACACATAGTTTGGTGTCTGACACAAAGTATGGGTATGACATCGAAGATCAATTGGACTTAGTTCGTCTCGATATGGTAAAGGTAATCCCGTCTGGGGTGAGAGAAAAAACCATCCATATTGAAAGCCCTAACGTCCGTCACCCGTCTAAATAAGACGAGGCACAAAAAGAGGGCTAGTTTGGCTGAAAGTTGTTTCAGTGACAAACAAGGATTGTCCTGATATTCCCCAAGGAATCACAGCACCACATCCACCTGCCAGAGGTGTGAATACTTGGGTGCCGGGTCTCGATAATTCGGCACCCCGAAGTAGTCGACAAACCAGTGGATCTTGCCCTACTGGTCCGCCCTGTACCGGAACGTGCGTCGCCGATATGGCGGATCCGATCACGTTGAGGGATCGATATGACCGCCCCAACAAGACCAGGTGTGACAGATAGTTAAGGATCAGTGGGGCAGATGCGGTAAAGGGATCGGAATCCCTTTCCACCCACCAAACACTCCAGGCCGGTCAGGCAGAAATATAGCATTTCCTGGTGCCGGGAGCCTATGAGTCCCATCAGAGGTCTTAGTTGATGCAATAGGTCGTGGACATTTCAGGAGGCCCTGAAATCATCCAGGCCACTAGTGCCAGTCGTCCTTCCACGACAAAGGAGGGGGCTTCCCCTCGAGGTCCCGTCAAAAGTAGAGGGAAGGTAGGGAGTGGTAGAGGGTCTTCGCGAGACGTCCCCAGGCGATCCGGGAACCACGGTTGGCATTGTCCGAGGGGTGTCATGAGCAGGAGCGATATCTTGTGTGTGCGTGTGTATCGAAGCACCCTTGCCATTGTGGAGAGCGGTTGGGTCCGTTTGTATGGGTTCATCCAACGCTACGCATCCGGGAAAGAGTCAAACATCGATTTGCCGATCCAAGATTGCAAGTGAAGTAATCCCCATCGAAATTCCGTCCTCACTTCTGCCGACAGTTGGATCTAGTGGTCGTATGAGTGACCGGCATGTACGTATCTAGTCAGCAGTCGTTGCATGGCCCCGTAGTGTAGTGGGCAAGGAAGTATCGATTGTATGGAGGAGGAGAGGAGGAGAGGAGTCCCACAATCCGGTGAGTATTCTGAGAGGAATCGTATCCAACCTTAGAGTGTGTCCGACATCCATCCGTATAGGGGCGATCTTCTCCAAGCCGATGTCGAAACCGAGGAACTGACCCGACACAGATGGGGGATCGTTTGTCTGCGTACTACCAAACAAACCAATGGAGTCCAGAACGTGAACGTCAAATTTGACTGCAAACGTAGCCTGGATTCGCAAAGGGTCAGCAAGTCTTCCAGGTACACGAGACATCGCACGTCCAAATTCGCGGATGTGAGCCCTCACCGGCTTCAGTAGCTCCGTGGGCACCACGGAGTCGTAAACTGCTGTTAGTCCTCATCCCTGAGATCGGAGGAAAACTAAGTAGTTTAGGGTAACGGATCTCGACAAGTATGTGTCCTCGGGGTCCAGATGTGTAAACCAGTCGTTATCGTTCAGGAGGTCTAGTAGAAGGTTGATTTTCTCTATCCTGAAGCATTTGTATACCACGTAGGAGTTCCCTTGATGATAGGTTGACTCACTAGTAGATAAAGCGTTTTGTGGTTCGGTTCCGCTACCGACCAGTCCTCCCAAAACACCTTTCCCCGAAGGGGTGTGGAGGATTTGTTTCAGCAAGGTCTGAGCTAAAGTTAGTGTGGTGGATAAGTTCCCGCCGTCAAATAGTAGGTCTTGTGCTTCTGGGCCGAATACTAGTTGTTCTTAGGTCTAATAGTGTGTTGTCGATGCGGACCAGTACAGGTTTGCGCCCGCCGGCGCATAGTGCGTCCTTTGCTCTGCCCTGGGGTCTCAAGCATTGAGTCCATCCTCCGGAGGTGGTAGGGTTGAGTTGTGTACCCTGGTTGAGTGCCAAATCCGCAAAATAGAATATCTCGTAATCAGGTCTGGTAGACTGAGTACTGTATCGTGTGTTGGTGAGTTCGGGTGTGACTGCCACTTTGTCTGGCAGCAGTGGTCTGGGGTATCTGGTCTTGAGGTGTGCGCATACATCCATCCCCAGAGGGTTGAGCAGCAACAAATGTCCGCCATCGCTATCTCCGTCTCAGTCGCCGACACAGAGTGGGGTTTCCCCAACGGATTTCGAGGAAAATAGGGGTAGGTCTTTCCGTTCCACTTCCTCAGATAGCGGGTTGTCTCCGTGTCACTGATCTATTATGTCCACCGTGCGTGGTGGATAGTAGTCTTCTTTGTCGGAAGATTGTGGTGGACAGGGATGCGGAATCCCGGTATTCCGTCTACTTGGTCTGTTCGATAGGGACTTGCCTTAGGGGGTTGGACCCCTTCCCTTGCCGTTTTGACATGAAGGCTCGTGGGGCTGAGGTCTCCGGCAAGCAGTTTGGGGCAGAGCTCATAACAAAAAAACCTTCTCCACTGAGACCGCTACTGCGTCGTTTATCAATGCCTAGAAGTCCTGGGGAGGTTGAGAGTGTCCTCCATGACCCGTTCTCGTCCTGTTGGGACATAGTGGCAGTCAGTGGGAGTAGTGATTGAGGGTCAGCACGTAGGGGTGCTAGACTCCTGGTAGCACTGGGGGTCACAAAGGTAAAGCGGCTTGAATTGCCAGCATCTGATTATCTGAGTGTATGAAATACTTGTGCCACGTGTAGAGGGGTCACCTCCATTAGTTTAATCCGGCTATTGGGAGCTGAGGCGTAGGTGCGATTGACCTGTAGTGCTGGTCCGATTAGTCGGGTTCACCATAAATGCACGCCAGAGCTGTATGCACGGATGTAACTATACAGGCTTATTATAGAAGCGCGTGGGACCTGTCCCCATAAGGTCTGATGCCGCAGGGCCCACGTGTATTCGACTGGGGTCATCCCAGGTGGTGTGCCATGGTAACCCAGAGGACACCCACATTATAATTGTTGGCACCTTACAAGTATTGCATGCATGTCTGGGGGTCACCCCAGGTGGTGTGCCATGAAAAATTACCCAGTGGACACCCACGTTCAATATGTACGCCAGGTACAGTAAAAGTACAGATATGTATCCCTGTGAAGGGTACTCCGCAATACACTCAGTTTACTCATGATCCTGCCTGCAAAACATATCCAGCAAGGTGGTACTGTTGCTTTAATGTAAAACTGCCAGGCAGTTTTTAAACATCCATACATGTATGCAGTAATCAGTGATAAAATTGAGGCGTAGGTCTTCGTGCCTTCTATCGGGGTTCACCCCGGGTGGCGTGCCGTGGTAACCCAGAGGACACCCACATCAACGTAATGGTCTATGAATGACCTTGCATGCATATCTGGGGGGTCACCCCAGGTGGTGTGCCATGAAAAATACCCAGAGGACACCCACATAGATTTGTACGGTCAGGTACAGCCATATAGTATGACCCAGCGTAGGGTATAATAGTACAGTATGCCCCTGTGTAGGGTACGGTAGTAGTATGTCCCATGTAGGGTACATTAATAGAGTATGCCGCTGTGTGGGGCACAGTCATAAAGTATGCCCCCGCGTGGGGCACAGTAATATATCATGATCCTGTGTGGCATAGATATAGTATATGACCCTTTAGGTTACAGGAGAAAACATTCAGTGTGCATACAATGCTTCGCATGCTGAAATAAAGCCACCATTTAAACAAGGACAAAGTGACAGGCACACACAAACTTACTCTCACTGTTCTCACAGTGCCCACCAGGGGATTTGAACCAGAGCACTTTGCAGGCCTGAGCCTGATGTACTGCTTCCAAAGCCACAGCAGCTCACTGTATATATATGTATATATATCTTCAAGCATATGACATGAGGTAAAATTGCCGTATGGCCGAGGGTTGTGAGAGTCATGGTCCAGCTAGACCTGCCTTATGGTGGCCTGTGCCACAGCATAGTTTGCCTTTGCTCCCTACAGCATAAGAAAAGGTTTAAACTGACAAGTGTAAGCACATCACGCAGATTGTGTAGTGACCTAATGGGAATGATACAGTCACAGGGCTGTCCTCAGTTTTCCTTAATACAGAAAAGCAGTTGTCCTTTAAGTGTCTCATACAGTCTATACTGAAACCATAAGACCAGGTCTCAGGAAAAAAACTACCTCATGTACCCGCAGGCACCCCATGCAGAGGTCACTCATGCTGAATACTAGTGAAGCTCGGCGATCGGGTGATTCCCGAAACGCCAAGCGAGCGGGGAAGGCGGCCGTCGGGATCTCGCGAGCCGCGAGATCCAAGATGGCCGCTGCCCGCGTGTGGAGGAGCGCGACGATCGCGGTCACGCAGAGGAAAAACGAAGGAAAATAAGATTAAAAATAAAACTAAACTGATCTAGCCTCCCTCCACCCGTCCCCATACAGTCCCCCAAATATATAAAGTGCAGGTCCGCGGGCGAGCGCGACACGGGCAGTCGTGACGTCCGCGGACTGCCAGGCATAACAAAGTAAAATACAGAGGGGGAGAAAAAAGGAAGAAGGGACAGGTTATAAGAGGGCCAGATAGCAGTAGTTGAAAAATCATTATGACAATAGTAATACATTGTAAAAAAAGAATAAACCAGAGAGGCAAAATACTCTGACCTGTTGTAGGCTGGAGCAGCAAAGAAAGAGGAAGTGATGTCATAGACAGGGCCTTATATGGGCACCATAGCTTTTTTCTGATTGGTTGTTATGTTTCTATGCTGCTGGAGTTTTCAGTAAAGAAAGATATGCAAATATGAAGCCTCCTGTCATGTGGTAAAATTCAAGTATTCCAATAAAGAATCTTCTGATTCTTCACATTCTGACTGGTCAACAATGTGGACCATTTCTTTTAGCTTTACACATGTTCTGAAAGTGATTCCTTTTCCCACATTTTCTACAGATTTGCCCATAAGCCGGACATTGTTTTATACCATGCTGCTTTCCACATCTGGTGCATAGCCAGTCTATTACCAGCAGTGAATTTGCTGTTCGTGTGATCAAACTTTGTCCTTTCATTTTATTTTCATATTGTAAATTCACTTAGGTTTTCCCCACTGTAACTGCCATTACTGGTGTTGACTCTGTGCTGTGGCAGAGCGTACGCACTTGTACCTGAGCTGCCTCTGAACTTTGACGAATGTCTACTGCCTTGTCCAGCGTTAAATCATTCTCTCTGAGCAAGCGTTCTTTAACCCTTATATTTCTGCAGCCCATGAGTAGCTGGTCTCTGATTAATGAGTTACACATTGCTCCGTAATTACATGATTTACTCTTCAGTTTTAAGTCAGTGACATACTCTTCAATAGTCTCTGTTTCATTCTGCATTCTACATCTGAAAAGATACCTTTCATAGGTTTCATTGTGTCTAGGTGCACAGTATTGTTAAAATGTGTCTAGAACAACCCCATAATCATCCCATTCGTCATCTGTAAATGTGAAGGTGTTGTACACATCTATTGCTGTTGATCCTGCTACAGTCAGGAAAATTGCAATCTTTTGTTCATCATCTTGTTTCTGAGCGCCTATAGTTTTAACTTTTTTAATTCTGGTGGAGGATTTACATTTTCCATCTTTATGTTACTGACTCTCGATTTATTTTGTTGTGAATTAGGCAGTATTAATGGATAAGACTGTAGTGCCCCTCTGTCTGGAATCACAGGCAATTGTACATGTGATAATGCACTTACTCAGTTCATGAGAAGCTGCTGTAGTCACTCTGCCAGAGTTTTGGTCCACACTCTTTCTATTTACTGCAAAGATGTCTTATGGATTCCTTATGGAGTCTGACTCATTGTATGTCAGTCATGATGGAAGCAGGGGGCTCCTTATTCTTACACCATGTTTTATCTAGTTTTCTCTTGTTTGTATAAGGAGATCAAGCACACCTTTTAGCACCATCTTCAGCACTGTTTGCTTGTTTTTCTCTCTCTCTCCCCCCACACTCTGTGATCTTCACACAAGATATTTACGACCCTCTGTAAGAATGGTGTCTATTTTCTATCAAACCTGTGTCTTATCTGCACACATGACTCCATAACCTCTGTATAACAACTCATCTGTGAATTCTATATGTCGTCTTGCACAGAAATGCTTTAGACTTGAGAAAGGGAGGTTCTCCTGAAAGCTTGTCATTAACAAATTCTGTTAGTCCAATAAAAAAGGTATTACAAGATAAAAAATGTTATCTGTTTTTTTACATATATATATATATATATATATATATATGTATTTATGTATATATATATATATATACCCTAACCATTCACAAATCGAACTGAGATGTCTATATTTATAGCCTTTATCATCCAAGGATACCAATGGAGTATCCACACCCCAATCCCATACCTCCCAGTTTGGATCATATCCATAATACAGGATGTGCCAAAATTTGGAGCAGGATTTGGCTGGTACATGACTTATTTGCTAGTTGTTAAATTTGTTTGTTGCAGGTACATATTATAACTGAGTCATGGGAGATTCATTGTGGGTAATTTCGAGAGTAACGAGTACAGGGAGTGCAGAATTATTAGGCAAATGAGTATTTTGACCATATCATCCTCTTTATGCATGTTGTCTTACTCCAAGCTGTATAGGCTCGAAAGCCTACTACCAATTAAGCATATTAGGTGATGTGCATCTCTGGAATGAGAAGGGGTGTGGTCTAATTACATCAACACCCTATATCAGGTGTGCATAATTATTAGGCAACTTCCTTTCCTTTGGCAAAATGGGTCAAAAGAAGGACTTGACAGGCTCAGAAAAGTCAAAAATAGTGAGATATCTTGCAGAGGGATGCAGCACTCTTAAAATTGCAAAGCTTCTGAAGCGTGATCATCGAACAATCAAGCGTTTCATTCAAAATAGTCAACAGGGTCGCAAGAAGCGTGTGGAAAAACCAAGGCGCAAAATAACTGCCCATGAACTGAGAAAAGTCAAGCGTGCAGCTGCCACGATGCCACTTGCCACCAGTTTGGCCATATTTCAGAGCTGCAACATCACTGGAGTGCCCAAAAGCACAAGGTGTGCAATACTCAGAGACATGGCCAAGGTAAGAAAGGCTGAAAGATGACCACCACTGAACAAGACACACAAGCTGAAACGTCAAGACTGGGCCAAGAAACATCTCAAGACTGATTTTTCTAAGGTTTTATGGACTGATGAAATGAGAGTGAGTCTTGATGGGCCAGATGGATGGGCCCGTGGCTGGATTGGTAAAGGGCAGAGAGCTCCAGTCCGACTCAGACGCCAGCAAGGTGGAGGTGGAGTACTGGTTTGGGCTGGTATCATCAAAGATGAGCTTGTGGGGCCTTTTCGGGTTGAGGATGGAGTCAAGCTCAACTCCCAGTCCTACTGCCAGTTCCTGGAAGACACCTTCTTCAAGCAGTGGTACAGGAAGAAGTCTGCATCCTTCAAGAAAAACATGATTTTCATGCAGGACAATGCTCCATCACACGCGTCCAAGTACTCCACAGCGTGGCTGGCAAGAAAGGGTATAAAAGAAGAAAATCTAATGACATGGCCTCCTTGTTCACCTGATCTGAACCCCATTGAGAACCTGTGGTCCATCATCAAATGTGAGATTTACAAGGAGGGAAAACAGTACACCTCTCTGAACAGTGTCTGGGAGGCTGTGGTTGCTGCTGCACGCAATGTTGATGGTGAACAGATCAAAACACTGACAGAATCCATGGATGGCAGGCTTTTGAGTGTCCTTGCAAAGAAAGGTGGCTATATTGGTCACTGATTTGTTTTTGTTTTGTTTTTGAATGTCAGAAATGTATATTTGTGAATGTTGAGATGTTATATTGGTTTCACTGGTAATAATAAATAATTGAAATGGGTATATATTTGTTTTTTGTTAAGTTGCCTAATAATTATGCACAGTAATAGTCACCTGCACACACAGATATCCCCCTAACATAGCTAAAACTAAAAACAAACTAAAAACTACTTCCAAAAATATTCAGCTTTGATATTCTTGAGTTTTTTGGGTTCATTGAGAACATGGTTGTTGTTCAATAATAAAATTAATCCTCAAAAATACAACTTGCCTAATAATTCTGCACTCCCTGTAAAAATAGTGGAGTTCCATTTTCAAAACTGGGACAACTGTTCGGTGAGCAGTAGATCATTTTAAGAGTTATTTACTGAACTGAGAAGTCAATGTGAATACAGAGTTTACTGAAAGTATAGCAAAGTATAGCAAAGTTTTTTAGATGCACTATATTAACCTAAAAATTTGAATTCACCAGGAATTCATGAGTTCTCACTTTAGTAACTAGCCCTAGCAAAATTCACTAGTTCTACTATAGGCGCAGGTTGGCTTTTTAGAGCTTAATTTTACAGTTTGGTTTGTTTGCTACAGTTTACTGTTTAGTCAATATTTAGCCAGTGAGACTAAAAACACATTGAACCACACCTAGCTTTTAATATCTTATCGGATTAGTCAAATATAGTTTATAGAAATGTTAAAGGAACACTATAATCATTCAGACCACTTCATCCGAAGTGCAGTATGCAGTATTTCTGAGAAACGGCAATGTTTGCATTTCAAGGCTGTGCATGCTCATTAGGTCCCAATGCTCATTTATGAGTAGCATTTAATTGGACAATGCCAAAGGAGGCCACGCCTCCTCTGTGATGTCATGGAAGGTGGAAAGGTGAGGATCACCAATTGAGCCTCAGCGCTGGAATGAGGTAAGTAAAAACTTTTAACATTTTATTTTTTTACACTGGGAAATGACCTGACTACTAGTACGGATAGCGATACTATAGTTTTATCAATACAGAATTATATTCTTAACGCCATAGTGTTCCTTCAACGTTAAAATAAAATATTAATTTTACAAGTTTTAAAAAAGGCCTAAACTCCTAAAGTTGCTTATTTAAAGCTACGAAAGTGTAACTACATCTTGATTTCCCCCCTAAATAAGAACAGATGATCCATTTTAAATAGGGTGTCATTAAATCTGGAAGTAAAAGAAACGGCTCTGTGAGTTTGCTTCAGACAAGGAGGAAAGATGAACTCTCATTTCCATATTTTCCGAGTTAAAGTAAGAAGAACTATAATTAACACTGTGTAACAGAAAATGAGGAGAAGATTAGCAGTGTGCTTGATGTACAAATAATTAAGAGACATTGTGTTCAATAGTTCTTTTATGGCAGAGTACACATTATGGCTGTGTGTATGAGTATGTATGAACATGACGGGATATTATTGGTTCATTTGGAGTCTGACCCTTTACTTGCCATAAAAAGCTGTATTTAAAACAATAGGTCGCTGGGGGAAACCGTTTACAGGTAAGTTAGGTACATTTTAAAAAGTGACAATATCTGTATTTTATTTCTATGGCATTACAGGTAGCAGGCCAAAGGACATATTTTTTAAATGCCCTCGGATATACGGATGCTGCTTATCATTCTCATCATTCTTTTGATGTATGTTGTATGTGTGTTTATGTACTGTATGTGTGTGCAGATGATTCCTCTCTTGCAACTGTCACTAGTCTAATACTATCCTTACCCTTTGTGTCACTTTACCCCACTCCCTCTAGCATGTAAGCTCATTGAGCAGGGCCCTCAACCCCTCTGTTCCTGTGTGTCCAACTTGTCTGGTTACAACTACATGTTTGTTCGCTCACCCATTGTAAAGCGCTGCGGAATTTGTTGGCGCCATATAAATAATAGCATAATAATAATAATAATAATAATAATAATAATAATATGTTTATACTTTTGTAAACCCCCACTTGTCCCGATTGCTGTGCTCTACAGCAGGGATAGGCAACCTTCAGTACTTCAGATGTTGTGGGCTACACATGCTACAATGGTCTTACCGCCACAATGCTGGCAAAGCATCATGGGAAGTATGGTCCACAACATCTGGAGTGCCGAAGGTTGCCTAGAGAAACAGTTTCACCCTCTGGTCTTTAAAAGTTAAAATATTACCCATATACAAAAATGGGGCACATCCAAGTAATTTAAAGCCCATGCACTTATTAGTGGCTAATTTATTGCTCCTATTTCAGGAATGTTTAAATATTACACATCGGGGAGTGGGACTATTATAAAGCATTCAATGGAAGGGGAAGCAGTGAACCCTAGAAGGTCATTTAACTGGGTATGCCTACAGGTTTCTGTCTACTGGGGACACCTACTTTGACAAAAATGTGCATTTTTATTTGTTTTTAGATGTATTTTGATTTACGTCTCTATTTTGCTCTGTGCCAGTTGCATTTTGTTCTATTTGTGAAAGAAGTGAGATATGTTCTGCTAGACTACCTTGTATGTCCTTCAAATCATGGTGCAAGCAATGGAGAACTGGCTTGTATTTTTTAGCTTGTTTGTTTGTTTGTTTTTTGTTTTATCCGATGGATATGGACGTTTGAGAATTCTGCCCGAGATGTAAAACTGTCACGGCATTTTAGATTTACATTTACAATCTCCACACTGCAGATTTTAAAAATACAAAATGGTACTGAATTCAAAGGTTACACAAAAAATACTAAAGTTTACTTTGTTAAACTTTTACCTAAAGTGTGCAATTATCATCAATTATCACCTTTTTGTAGATTTTCTTCACATCTGCCCCCAATCACATCATTTTTCTTGTCTTCAGGTGTTACCTTGTCAAGTTATAGAAACAGTTCCTTTAATTTTTCTATTCCTGAGATATGTTTTTTTGTCTGTTTTGCCAGTTTTTGTATTTTTTTTACCCTTTTGATGCAAGACAAGTCTTCATTTATTTACGCTTGTAATAAATCCTTTTACACATTGTCACAATGTGTGCATGAAAGCACATAGTGTTTTGTAGCACTGTATGTTAAGGCAAAAACAGCAGACTAATTAGACGAGTGTGAAAAATGTGCTAAAAATTGCTATTTTTTTTACTAATTTCCGTAATAATGGATGATGTGTTCGCCATTGAAAGTTAGAAGACACTTAGTCTGCACATAAAGCAGCATTGTCATTTGTAAGCGTCTTTGTGATTTCTAGAAAGGTATCCCAAACATGGCATGTCCACATGGTGGTACTCTGAGGGAGAGGGGAATGGACTATGGGCAGTGGTGTATCCTGGTTTTGTGCTGTGGTGCTAGGCAGGACAAAACTCAGGCGCCCCCCCCCCCCTCGCCAGCCCCCCCCCAAGCCTTCTAAATACACACACACACACACACACATTCACTGACAGATACGCATACACTCGCTAACAGAAACACACACACACACACTAACAGACACACTCACACTCACTAACAGACACACACTCACTGACACACACACACTCACAGGCAAACACACTCACACTAACAGACACACTCACACTAACAAACACACACACATTAACAGACACACACTCACTGACACACACATTCACACTAACAGACACACACACTCACACTAACAGACACACACACACACACACACTAACAGACACACACACTCACTCACCAGCAGACACACACACACTCACAGGCAAACACACACTCACTAGCAGACACACACACACTCACTGACACACAGTCAGACACACACATACACACTAACAGACAAACACAGTCAGACACACACTAACAGACACACACTCACTCACTAGCAGACACACACTAGCAGACACACACACACACACACTCACACAGTCAGACACACACACACAGTAACAAACACACACACATTAACACACACACTCACTGACACACACACTAACAGACACACACACACACTCACACAGACACACACACACTAACATACACACACACACACTCACTAGCAGACACACACACTCACTGACACACAGTCAGACACACACATACACACTAACAGACACACACTGTCAGACACACCAACAGACACTCACCCACTAGCAGACACACACTAGCAGACACACACACACAGTCAGACACACACACACACTAACAAATACACACACATTAACAGACACACACTCACTGACACACACAATCACAGGCAAACACACACATAGTCAGACACACACACACACACTCACTAGCAGACACACACATTCACTGACACACAGTCAGACACACACATACACACTAACAGACACACAGTCAGACACACACTAACAGACACACACTCACTCACTCACTAGCAGACACACACTAGCAGACACACACATACACTCACACTCACACTCGCACAGTCAGACACACACACTAACAAACACACACACGTTAACAGACACACTCACTCACATTAACACATTTTTATTTATTTTTTTATTTACCCCCCCCCCCCAACCTCCTTACCTTTGGGAATGCTGGGGGGGGTCTCTTTCTCCCTGGTGGTCCAGTGGCTGCTGGGTGGGTGGCGCTGGCTGCTGTGCGGGCGGCTGGTGAGGGAGCACTTCCTCTGAGCACTCTGCTCAGCTCCCTCGTGCGCCGCAGAGTGAGGCTGGGAGCCGGAATAAGACGTCATATTCCGGCTCCCAGCCTCACTCTACGGCGCGCGAGGGAGTTGAGCAGACCGCTCACAAGAAGAGCTCCCTCGCCAGCCGCCCGCCCGCCCATCAGCCAGCGCCGCCCGCCAGCCCAGCAGGTCAGTTAGCCGCAAGGCTAACTAGGCATTTGCCCTGGGCATTTGGGGGGGCGGCGTTTTTTGAAAAATGCTGCCCAAGGCAAATGCCTTGTTTGCCTCGCGGCTAAAACGCCCCTGGATATGGGAGATAGACTGACCTGAAGTTCTCATTCCTCCACATCTTCATTGCCTGGTTCAACCCTTTCTTCAACATCATGATGACTGGTGGCTTCATTGGGGGAAGGTCCAGGGGAACAACTTGCTTAATCATGAGATGGCGTCTATTTTGCATCTCACGAAAAATGCCAGTCCCCATCAACTATCGCAAGGGACAGCTGATGAAATAATATGATATGTCAGATTCAACATTTTGCTGAATTTCTGTTTGTCTTTAAAAAAGACCATATAGTCCCTGCCATGGGCGTAGGAACCCAAAAAAATCTGGTGGGGATAGCATTTTTACTCGCCGGGTATATTCTTATTCCGTAAACTAGGAGTTGTTTATCCCATTGTACAGAGCTATGGAATTTGCACTCGCTATATAAATGATTAAATAATAACTTTAAAGTGTCACTACAGGGAAGGGATTTTACTTACCTGGATCGAGCGCCGGGATCCTCCTGATGCCACGCCCCCTATTTCGTCAAAATGACGAAATAGGAGGGTGCGAGCAGGGAGCAATAAACGCTTCTATTCAGAAGTGTCATTGCTCTCTGCTGCGCATGCGCAGCTTTGCCGTACGTACGCAGATACTTCATAGGGCCGCATTCATGTCTCGACTATGAAGCACCTCTTGTGGCCATCTGAGTGTCCACTAGAGGTATTCCTCATCAGTAATGTAAATACTGCCTTTTTACAAAATGGCTGTGCTTACATTAAAAAGCCTGCAAAGACATGCTATAGACACTAGAACTACTACGTTTAGCTGTTGTGGTTCTGGTGACTATAGTGTCCCTTGAATATAGAGAGGAAAAAAGAATCATCACAAATGTAAGAAATAAAATGTCTGTATCATTATTCTAAAAATTATTTTAAAAAAATAAAAAAATATGCACATTCCTAGCTTAATTTTTAGCACGACATATGACACAAACATTTTGTACTTTGCAGATTACTTTTTATATTTTTTATACATATACAGATTGTGTAATACTGCCCCTGACTTAGGGTGACCACATTTCCTAACTGCCATTCAGTGACACTGTCAGAAATGCATTCCATTTTACTACCCGTCTCTACCCGTTCCATTTATATTAGAACGCCACCTACCCTTCCATGAAAATTAGAACTACCCCTACCCCTCCCATGAATATTAGAACCACCCCTACACCCTTCCATGCACAAAAGAACCCCACCTTCCCCTTCCACGCATATTAACCCCCCTACCCCTTCCATGCATATTAGTACCCACCTAACCCCTTCCATGCATATTAGTACCCCCTAACCCCTTCCATGCATATTAGAACCCACCCTACCCCTTCCATTCATATTAGTACTCCCCTAACCCCTTCCAATAATTTTTCTACATCCCCCCTCCTCCCATCCATATTAGTAGCCCCCCAGCCCCCCTAAACCCTTCCAATTATTTTTCTACCTACCCCTCTCCCCCTATCCTTATTAGTAGCCCCCCTAACCCTTTCCAATTATTTTTCTACCTACCCCTCCCCCATCCATATTAGTAGCCCCCCTAAACCCTTCCAATTATTTTTCTACCTTTGTCCCCCCTTTTACCTGACATAGCAGGGGGACCTCTGGACATCTGGCAGGCGCAGTGTCAGACTGAGCGCCGGGTAGTCACGTGACACTCGGCCAGGGCCGGTGCAAGGATTTTTGCCGACCTAGGCAAAAGTAAAGTTTGCCGCCCACCCCATGTGACATCACAATGCCCCACCCATATGATCTGCCATGTTAACTAACGCCAGTGCTTGAGTGCCGCCGTGTTTACATTAAAAGGCCTGCAGGGACAGGCTATAGACACCAGAACCACTACATTAAGCTGCAGTGGTTCTGGGGACTATAGTGTTTCTTTAATGTGAGGTAAATTAGAGATTAGTGCCATGAATAATATGCTAGATTGCCTACTTACAACCAGATGAGGATGATGATGGGCTCTAGCTACAGTCTGGCTCCACTGGTCTGGTGTAGAACAGGCTCTCTGGAGGCTGTTTGTAACTGTGGTCACAAAAATCAATGTTCTGGGAGAACGGGAAGCAGCTCCATTTTTTGGGGGTCCTTTACACAGCTCAAGGTCTGGGTCCCAGGGTCCACCTTCATGTTCTACCAATGAGTTTGTTCACAGGGGGTGGAGTGTGTGGGATGTCCTGATATGTGTGTAAGGAATGCATTGTGTGAATCTGTGTTTATGTGTAAGGGCTGCAAGGTGTTTTCTGTGTATGTACGGGATGCAGTGTGTGCGTCTGTAAGGGGTGCATTGAGTGTGTGTACGGGGTGCATTTAGTGTGTGTAAGGAATGCATTGTGTGTTTCTGTGTGTGTAAGGTTTGCATGATTGTGCGATTGTGTGTGTGTGATGGATGGTCATGTCAATCTCTCTCCCTCCCTTGTCACTCTCCCTCCCTTGTCACTCTTTTCTCCCTCTCTCCTTGTCACTCTCTTTCTCCCCTCCCTCCCTCCCTTGTCACTCTCTTTTCTCCCCCTCCCCTCCCTTGTCACTCTTTTCTCCTCTCCCTCCCTTGTTACTTTTTCTCCCCTCCCTCCCTCCCTTGCCGCTTCCCTCCTCCTCCCTTTGTAACTCTTTCTCCTCCCTCCCTTGTCACTTCTCTCCCTCCCTCCCTACCTCCTTGTCACTCTTTCTCCTCCCTCCCTTGTCACTCTCTTTCTCCCCACCCTCCCTCCCCTCCCTTGTCCTCTTTCTCCCCCTCCCTCCCTGTCAATTCCCCACCCCCCCCTACCTCTGTTGTAGCGTGGCCGAGCTCTGTATGGTCCGCGGGTACAGGGAGCTTTTGTTTCCTGTACCCGGCCTGACTAAAAGGAAGTGAACACTCAGTATGTACTTCCTGTTAGTCCGGCCGGGTACAGGAGACAGATTCTTCCCTGTACCCGCGGACCATGATACAGGGCTCGGCCACGCTACAGTGAGGGAGTGACAGGAGGGAGCGCTGTGCGCTGAGCGCTTCCCTCCTGTCAGCCCCTCTCCTCATGCTGCGCCCGTGCGGTGCAGTCCGCCCTCATGGACGCATCAGCCCGGAGCAAAGCTGCAGTCGCCTGAGGCTCTTTGCAGAGCGCTCGGGTGGCTGCAGCATGAGGAGTGCCGGCAGAGCTGGGGGTGTTTCCCCATAACCTGTCCCCCCCCCGCATGATTTGCTGGGGGGGGATACGTCCCCCCCATCCCCCCTGTTCCTACGCCCATGGTCCCTACTTGGTCTTACTTTATCTTTTTCACTATGATTTTTTAAATCAGGTTTAGAAAATACATGCAATTTCATAGTCTTCAACTTCTTCTTTAAGTATAAAGTTCTTCTATTAACACATTTATATCATTTTCAACTCATCATGTCAGCCTGTGCATACTGTGTAATTTATGCACACAAAGTTCTATTTATGCCATAACTTAAGCTAAAACAATTAATAATTAATATGTGTATGTTAAGTACCCGCAATATTAAGCATTTATCTTTTTATATACTATATCTACGTTAGACAGAATATAATGTTTCTATGTATATATATATATTTATCTGTATATATATATATATATATATATATATAAATACAGCAGTCTTGAGAAAGAACCGAATGGGTCAAAACGTCGATCGTATTATGTAAATACTTATTCAGAATAAACAACAATTTATTCGTTAAAAGACCTCAGAGTGCATGTCTTACTGTGCTACATATATCTTCTAACGTTGGATTGCACCAAGGCAAAAAACTATCCATATAGGAGAGAAAGGGTGACTGACAAGCTATTTATTTTATATATATATTTACATACACACGGTAAAATGTGTAATTATTGCTTGTTTATGAGTTCTGTTTGAAGGTTTTGCAATCTGCCCAAGGGAGACACATACATTGCAATATTTCATGACTCCATTTAACACATTGATACACACTGTTAATTGTTTAATGACATGTTAATTGGAGAAATCTTGACAGTCTAACAGAACCACCTCCTTCCATAACCAAGCTTGACACCCATTCTCTTAATGTCATCGTTCTACT